AAGTGCAGCCAGAGTGCTCCTTGGAGGCCAGGATGGCTAAGCTTCGTCTCTCATACTTTGGACATATTGTCAGGAAGGAACAGTCGCTGGAGAAGGATATCATGCTTGGTAAGATGGAGGGTTGGAGAAAAAGAGGAAGACCCCCAATGAGATGGATCGGCCAGGGGGCAACATTGATGGACTCAAGTGTGGCAGCGGTAGTGAGGTTGGCCCAGGATCGGACATTGTTTCGTTTTGCTGTGCATGGGGTCACTAGGAATCAGTTGTTGGAGAAGGATGTCATGCTGGGTAGGGTGGAGGGTCAGAGAAAAAGAGGAAGACCTCCAACGAGATGGATCGGCCAGGGGGCAACATTGATGGACTCAAGTGTGGCAGCGGTAGGGAGGTTGGCCCAGGATCGGACATTGTTTCGTTTTGCTGTGCATGGGGTCACTATGAGTCAGTTCTGACTCGATGGCACCTGACAACAACAACAACAGAACACTAACTGAAATGGAAAAAATTACAAGTTGAATCCCTGGAATGGGAGACTTGGAAGAGGTGTAGTGAGCCCTTTCAGTGGGCTGTTGCGTAACATTGGATTCTTGTCATAACTGTAGAAAGCGACACACATTCAAAGCGGTGAGGTTGGCTGCCATCTTTGAGCGAGGCACCATTGTTTTTCACCCAGTTGGTCAAGAAATTTGGTTGCTATGCAATTCTCATGCTGCCTTTGTTTTCAGAGAGATTAAGTTTCTAGCAGGGTTTTGAGCCGTAAATTTTCCAATTCAGATTAATGTCCAGTTTACCCACATTTTAGAAATTTGGGTCCAACTATATAAAACATCAACAAAAAGTTTTCACACAGAAAAAAAATGAAAAATTGCATCTAGTCTAGTGTTGCTTTGTCAGCGATGACTGAACTGGGTTGAATTGGTTGGAAGCCCTGGTACATAAACAAGTCAATTGAAATATAACACTTGCCATAATGAAAGTATGTTTTCGTCTAATAGGAACGAAGGGGAATTGTTTCTGCTAAAGAAATCAGGGGAATCCCTGGATGACACAAGTTATTAAGTACTAGGCAACTAGACAAAAGACTGGCAGTTTGAACCCACCCAGGGACACCTCAGTAGACAGGTCTGGTGATGCTCTCAAAAACCTGGTGACGTAGTTTTGCTCTGCATGGATGGGAGTACCATGAGTCAGAATCAGTTTGATGTCAGCTAAGAATAGCAGCAACAAAGAAATTGGGGATTATTTCATCCAAAAAATCTTTAAGCTAATACTTCAAGAATAAATAGAAATTTGCCGAGAAGAAAAGATAGTGATGGTAATGTGTTTCTTTAGCAGCAAGATCATTTGTAAAATGATAAGAGATCTGTGAGAACTGGGATGAAAAATATCGAGGGAAAAGTCTTGGTGAACCGAGAGAAAATAGGCATTTAAGGCCAGACATGCAGAACTTTCTGATGTCAGATATTTGCTCCAAAGAGTTTAGTTTTCTTTTGGAGGTAGTGATTAGAGCAGTGACACTGTACACAAGTTGGAAAATCACTGCAAATGCTCAGATAAAGGAAGATGGTGATATGGAGACAGATGGAGGCAAAACCAGAGGTAAGAATATTAGTAAGGAGATACTGCAATGGCCCAGGTCAAAGATGCTAAAGACCTAAATCAGCACCAGTAAGAGAAGCCAGGTCCCAAGCATGCCAAAGATGTTAATAGGCCTTGGTAACTTGACACATAATCGAATAGAGAAAGTGACAAGTCTAAGATTACTCATGCTTTTCTGCTTTGGCAATGAATGGATCAGTAAGTCCAAAAACGGGAATATAAGTAGAAACTATGATAAGCTGGACAGTGAATAAGGAAGACCGTAGAAGAATTGATGCCTTTGAGTTATGGTGTTGGAGTAGAATATTGAAAGTGCCATGGCCTGCCAAAAGAACCAATAGATCCTGTTTTGAAAGAAGTGCAGCCAGAATGCTCCTTGGAGGCCAAGATGGCTGCACTTCGTCTCTCATACTTCGGACATGTTGTCAGCAGGGACCAGTCACTGGAGAAAGATATCGTGTTTGGTAAGGTCAGAGAAAAAGAGGAAGACCCCCAGCGAGATGGATTAGCCAAGTGGCAGCACAGATGGACTCAAGCGTGGCAACAGTAGTGAGGTTGGTCCAGGATCGGGCAGCGTTTCGTTCTTCTGTGCATAAGGTTGTTATGGGTCAGTACCGACTCGATGGCACCTAACAACAACAATAAGCAGTACTTTAAAATTAAAAAAAAAATTTTTTTTCATTAAAAAAATAGTTTTTAAATTCTTTTGATACAGTAGAATATTTTGTGTTTTGATGAGATAATGTTAGTAGAAATTATCCTGTGTTAAACTCAATTCCCTCACACACACATGATCGATTTTATTATTTTTAAACATTGAATTTATATATATATATATTTTTTTTTGTAAGGTGTTAGTTTACTAATTGCCAGGTTGGTGGTTCAAACCCACCAGCTGGGAGAATGATGAGGCTGTCTCCTCTCATCAAAATCCATAGTCTAAATGGCATGAACTTTTAGTTTATGGTTGTTTCGGGGGACCCGGAGGAAATACATATGTACAAATGATAGAAAAACTAACGAAAGGCTCTTCTGCTGCATTGAAACTATGTAATAAGTAAATGCCAAAATTAGATGTGACTTTTTTAGAGTAGAAACAAAGGTTTTTCTCTCTCTCTCTCTTTTTTTTTTTTAAATTCTTACAGTCGTGTCTTTTGACTGTCCAAATATAGATTTAAATATCTTTTACAGTTAGCAGGGCGAGGACTTATTAAAGGCAGAGATCACCTGATGTGGGTTCTTCTACAATTCATTTCCGGAAGTATTCAGAAAAACGCGCTAGCTGATTTTCTTCCTGTTATGAAGCTCTTTGACCTTTTGTATCCAGAGAAAGAAGTAAGTTTTATTGAATAGTTGAAGAAGGTGTTGATTGGCTTATACCCAATATATGTGTAAGGGTATTAATGTGATTTTGTGAAAAGAGCATTGGATCTAGAGGCTGGAAACCTCAGTTCTGTGACTAAGCATCATGGAATAAACATGCTATTTCTTTTGACATTTCTTTCATTTTAGGTAAAATGAAATTGAAGTAAGTTGTTTTTAAAGTTTACCCTAAATCACAATTGAGCATTTATACAGAAGCTCTTTCTCTACATTCAAAGTAGATCTGTAGTTTTGAAAATCACTAAAGCTGTTTTAATCGATACGTGCCACTGAATGCCCGGATAACAGTGTCTGTTTATATATTCTTGCCAGTCTGCTTCAGCATATTTCCCCAGTGTCTCATTAGACAAGATGTGTGAGTAAAAATGTGATGGCAATCCTCTCCATGCAATAGCATTTATCCTACTAACTCCCTGTGGTTCACCATTTATATCTTGCATTTCACAAATGAGCAAGACAAATATATTTGATGTTACACTTAACAAACTAAAAAATGTATATTCATTTAAATGTCCAAAGGACACAGTCTGCCAGCCAGCCTAGAGCCTGCAAGTGCTCTGTCTCTCCATGCCACCGCCTTCACCACCATTTCTGCTGTTTCCACTTTTTTAGGTAGGAATTGCATGATGGTCATTGGATCATCTCTTCCTGAAATGAAAGATTAAGTACTCCGCCTTTTAGTTACTCATCTTCTACAATTACAGTTGTGACAATCACAATTAATCTTGCTAACAGTTGTTCACAGATGAGTCATACAATCCTGTCACCATCACCCCCCATCCCTTTTCATCAGATGCATCTGGAAAAGAGGGAAACTGTTCAGTGGGGGGTCTCACTCCCCTCTGAGGACTAACCACTCGTTGGAAACCCTATACAGGGTCACTGTGAGTCAGAACCAACTTGATGGCACTTAACAATAACAATTCAGTGGGGAGTCTACCTTACTTCCCTCATTCTGAAACTAAGCACTTCTTGAAAGCTTGTAAGACAGCCACTTCATGCCTTTATCATGTTCTTGTTTTGATAGTAGTGTGTGAATTCCTCAACCCTATTAACCCAGTACATTGAGGAAACAAGGTTGTTCCTTGATAATGAAGAATCCTTCCATTCTGAATCACTGCATTCATAGGCAAAAGTCTAGTTCATCAAATTGCAGCAACTTGTTCACAGTTTCAAACATCTTTAGCATCCTTGGTTTGAGTTGTGGTTAACTAGACATCCAAGCTAGGTCAAATGGGTACTGGCTGCAAGTTTGAGAGTTCACACAAACCTCCATGCACTTTAGACCAGCTGGCCGCTTCACTCTCAGCCATAGCCCTCAGGGACTAGATTAATGCCCATGGGTCCAAAAGTTAACACATTTTTCTAATCTTAGACCAGTCAGCCCTCCTATTCTCTCTTTCAGCTCAAGGTCAGTGGGTGCCAATGGAACATAGCTAACTTAGTATTTCTCTGCAAAATAAAGTCACGGCATCAGTATGCTGAGTATTTTAATATCTGTCTTGCTTTACTATAGTTTATAAAAGGTGTGATGCCTTTTTCAGTATCTATTTTGGATAAATTTACTACTTGAAAGCTATTTTTGTTAGCGAATGCTTTGATAGCAGAAAAGCTTAATAAGTACCTGTGTCTATTTTTAATTCTCTTTGCAAGTATAGTCATGATCTTATAATCATATAAATATTTTGTAGTTGTTGGACCTTCTGGTGTGTATTGTTAAACAATCAAAGAACCATTGGAACTAAATAAATATAGAATATTTTTTAAAGATATGTATCAGAAGTGGATTAATTTGTTTTTGTTTTTTTAATATACAAATTATTGTTTTTCAGTGTATCCCAGTTCCTGATATTAACAAACCCCAATCAACTCATGCCTTTGCAATGACTTGTATTTGGATTCATCTCAATAGAAAAGCCCAAAATGACAACTCTAAGCTACAGATTCCCATACCTCATTCCCTAAAGCTTCACCACGAGTAAGTTACTTGTAACTTGACAGTTAATTTCTTTGTTCATTAGGTAGTGGAATTGTAGTCTAATATTGATCACATGTTAGTGTGAAGTTTGGGAATACCCCCATGCCCATTTGAGATGAGGATGAATAGTTAATGTATATGCTGTAGCAAGAGAAAACTAACCAACTAAAACCTACATTAGAAAACATCTAGAAGAGTAATCCTATGTGTGTATTTATTTTTTAATTTTCAAGACAGATCTTTTGTTATACTTTAAAGTTACAAATTTCTAAGTGTATGTAAAAATGGTTCACAACTTCTCAGGTGTTGGGATTTGAGCATGATTGTACTGAGGTTATCTTTCAGTCCATGGGCCGCAAGGATTGTTTGAGCTGATCTGACTGGCATATTCCTTTTCATCTCTTCCTAAATTGTGACTGCTGAAAGATGTGCCCTTTTCAGCTCAAACTGTCTCAGTAGGAAAGGCCGGAACTGAACTTTCCACCTAACAGTGGTTGTGGTGGTGGCTGTGTGCCTTGGAGTCAGTTCGACTCATAGCGACCCTGGTACAGGGTTTCCGAGGCTGTAAATCTTTACAGGAGCAAAAAGCCTCAGTAGGTTTCTCAGTAGGACTATCAAATCTAGTCACTGGAGCCTAGAGGACACATTTTATGCCTAGGTGTACTTTTAAAATAATTACAAGTATTGTGTTACAAAAATGAGTATTGTTTATTGTAGGATTTCTAGAATATACAGGTGTTGTTGTTGTGATATGCTGTGGAATCGGTAAACCCAGTGGAAATGATAACTTCGTGTTATAGTTGGCTTTTGTTTTATGAGACACACCTGCGTAAGCTTGCCTTTCATTGTAAAGCTTATAATCAAAGTATATTGTGATAGGTATTAATAAGAAAGAAACCTAGCTTGTGAATTTGTGAAGTATTTTATTCTTGATTTGTAGCATAATACGGTGCTGCATATGTAGTACTAACTTAACAAATATTATTGTTAATATGTAGTTACTTAACTTTCCTGACGCGGGAGAAAGATGAGGCTTTCTACTCCCGTAAAGATTTACACCCTCGGAAACCCTGTACAGGGTCGCTATGGGTCGGACCCGACTCGATGGCACTCAACAACAACAACAACAACTTTTCCTGAAATGCTATACAAACTGATATGTGCATTTTCACTCTATATTTTTGTGTAGAAACTATAATGCCAGTAGGAACAAAAGTAGTATTTACATAAGTTTATACTTGTTTTTTTAAAATACTGCAAGTTAATGTTATAGAAATAATATGTATTTTCCTGTTCAATGGAACTGAAATTTTTAGGTTCCTACAGCAGAGTCTAAGAAATAAAAGTTTACAGATGAATGACTATAAGATTGCTCTGCTGTGTAATGCATACTCCACAAACTCAGAATGTTTTACATTACCCATGGGAGCTCTGGTAGAAACAATTTATGGAAATGGAATTATGAGGATATCTCTCCCTGGAACAAGCTGTTTAGCTTCTGGATCTATTACTCCCTTACCAATGAACCTCCTGGATTCCCTGACAGTTCACGCCAAAATGAGGTATGTCCTTTTGTTTATTTGATCCCATGTCAAAGAAATGCTACTCGTAAAATAGAGACCTTGATTTCATGATTTTTTGTGTATATTTTATGACTAGCTGCATTTACAAAAAATTATTAGATTTATTTTGTTATAAAATAAGTATTGTTTATTGAAGATATTCTAGAATATACAAATAAACTCAAAGAAATTGATGATTGCCACAATCCCTCTATGAGAGATACAGATTTTAAAACATTTTGTGTATGTCCTGAATGCCTTTTCCTTTGTGTAAGTATTTGTTGTTGTTGTTGTTGTTAAGTGGCACAGAATTGGCTCCAACTCATAGCAACCATATGCAGGATTTCCCAGGAACAGCTGGTGGGTTTGAATGACCTTGCAGTTAGTAGTCCAAAGCTTATTCTTACATACCAGGAGTCCATATAAATACATATAAACATATGCTTTTTTTCTTTGTTTTACATAAATGGGATTTTATTGTGTTACTGTATTCCTTACACATGGAGGCACTGTCACATTTTAGCAGTATGGTTCCTAAAAGACAGAAGAGGCTCTCGGTTGAATGCGATTATAGAACCTCAAGTGCCTGTAGAGGCCAGGCTGGTGATGTAAGTGCACACAGCCTGGTGCTGGTGGAGGGTCCTGGGGTAAGCACTGGGGAGCCTGTGTATATGGAGAAGCTCTATGTGCAGAGCTCGTCTTCAGATGCTGACACTCTAGCTCATTTCCGTAATGCAGGAATGCACACTAGGAGAGCCAGATCTAACTTTTTTCAAGAACTTTGGAAATCCAGAATTTTGTTTTCTAGTCTTTCCGCTATTAAATACTGCCTCAGATTTTACAAAAATACTGCATAGGGCAAAGAAAAAGCATCTGTAGCCTCTGGTGGAGAGTGAGTTCTAGAAGAGCCATACTCTTTTTCAAATAGTAAACCCTGATAGAAGTGTACATGTGCTCTATTTACATATGTGATAGGTCTGAGGAAAGCCCTGTTGGTATCTAACATTTGAGTCTTTGCAGTGATTTAAGTTATTCTTGGACTTGAGTAATTTAATATCTCAGTGATATCAGTTACATATATGACAAAGAAAAAAGACTAAAATCACTCAAACATGTCTGTGAAGTATACTCTCACCAGACAGACCCTGGTGCACATTTAAAGTGCAGTTGATCCTTGAACAACACAGAGATTAGGGGCACTGATAAATCTCCCAGGTGGTCAAAAATTTACGAATGGCTCTTGAACCCCAAAACCTTTCTTTTTTTAACAATGGTATTTACAGTGAATTCATTTATCATGAAATGATGGGCAACTGCAGCTACACACCTCGGTCTGTTGTGCAGATCTAGCAATTTAACTTTTTCTTGTAATGTCATGATTTTTCTCTGCTTCTCCAGAACACTTTCAGCATCATTAGTGACACTTGGTGTGGATCCCAACCACTGTTAGTCAGATGTGATATTGCACTTAAAACAATGCAAAATACACCAAGAACTGTGAGAAATCACTTTATCACTTTTAACAGCAATATGCAGTTTACTTGACAGATTAACTTGACAGAGATGATTAGCATCACTGTTTTTTTTTTTTTTCCAATCCATGAGTTACATAGACCTGTGTGATTCAGAGTTGTTCAAGGATCTTCTCTGCCATCACAACCAGCATTAGTCTCAGCTTGTGTAGTGCATTACTAGCAATTTTCCTGCACAACTTAAATACATTAAGTACACCAGCTTCATTTTACCTGTTTAAGTTTATAGTCTACTGAATAAGTGAGTGATAGAGTAACTCTTGTATTTATGCCAAAAATATGGATTTTTGTTTTCTCCCCTTTTGTTTTTCTTCAGCCTTATTCACAGCATTGCAACCAGGGTGATAAAACTTGCTCATGCAAAGTCCAGTGTGGCCTTGGCTCCAGCTCTAGTAGAAACTTATAGTCGTTTATTGGTTTATATGGAAATAGAATCTTTGGGCATCAAAGGATTTATCAGTAAGACAAATTTTCTGTTGTTTATACCATGAACTCATTTAGTAATCCTACAGCTACCCTTGTAGTCACTGCCTTCTTGGAGCCTACATGCTAATTAGGAGCACAGGTGTTAAATTAAGCCGGTGAAATCTGTAATATGTCAGAAGGAGATGCATGCTGTAGTAAAAATAAACCAAAAAAAGAGCAATAAGAAGTATGAGTGTTTTAAGTGAAGTGGTAAGAAAAGGTTGCAAGGTTCTGTTTTATGGTTATCAGGAAAAAGATGGTCCCTGCCCTCATCTAAGAATATACAGTCTCATTTGCCTCCCCTGCTGTGTGTCTGCTGCTGACTCACCCAGGGCTGCAGTGTTCTCATTGGTGGGCACTGTTGTTGGTAGGTACCATCGAGTAGGTACCGACCCATAACGACCTTATGCACAGCAGAATGAAACACTGCCCGATCCTGGGCCAACCTCACTACTGTTGCCACTCTTGAGTCCATCTGTGCTGTCACTTGGCCAATCCATCTTGTTGGGGGTCTTCCTCTTTTCCTCTGACCCTCCACCTTACCAAACATTGGTGGGCAGTAGGGAAGGAGTATTTTACATTGCAGAAGACACACACCCATGGCTGTTGGGTAATATGCAGTTTTAAACAGTGGAAACTTTCTAATGTACAGGTGTTTTCATCCATGGTAACTCCTGCTAACTTTTCACCAAAACAGTATAACTTCGATTTTAGCCACAGTTGCTCTTTCTCTCAGATAATTTGAGAGGTGAATAAAATTTTCTTGGAAGGAAGGAGCAAACAAGGGCAGGTGTGAAACAACTTTTATATTAAAAAAGAGTTTCTCATGTTTCAAAGACTTGGGAACATTTACTTTGTAACAATACTTTTTTAAAAATTCAGAGAAGTGAAGAAAAGTGGGGCAATTTTTGTTTTTTAAGTCTTTTATTTTTCCAGATAAACTTGAATATGATTTTGTCAATTTTCAGGCAAAAGTAAATTGGGTATTATAATTGGTGGTGGTAGAGGTGGTGGTGTGCCGTGGAGTCAGTTCCAACTCATAGCAACTCTGTATAGAGTTTTCGAGGCTGTAAATCCTTATGGGAGCAGAACGCCTCATCTTTCTCCCATGGAACAGCTGGTGGTAGTTTTGAACTGCTGACCTTGAGGTTAGCAGCTCGACTCGTAACCACTATGTTACCAGAGTTCCTTATAATTAGGATCAGTATTTTTTCTTCTACTGAAAAAGTACAAATGATAGAAAATATATTTTACAGTTAATCTTTATGTGCATTTTACTTAATGTGACTTTTCTTCTAATATCTTTTTGTTAAAAAATCGTTTATTGTGAATTGAGTGCAGTTTTACAGAGCAGATCATTCGTTTTACATTCAAGGAATCATGTCCTTTGCTTTTTTACTATGATTGCACTCCTCTTCACCTACCATCCATCATTAAACACTGTTTACCTTTATTCACTTAACTCTTGCATTCTTCTCTGTGTCTCCCGTTACCTTCATCTTTCCTTTGCTAACCTCCCTCGCATATTGCCTGTCCTGTCACCCGTTTTAGCATGTGTCTACCCTCTATCCATTGAATAATTTTCCCTTTTATCCCCATCCCCATAACCATCATAGAATGTTTCCTTTATCAAGAAAATCTTTTCTTAAACTCTGTTACAACAGTGATCTCATACAGTATCTTCACGTATCTTTTCATGCATAGCTTTTGATCATTTTAATTTGTAAATTGTCTTGTTCCTCAAGGTCAGCTTTTGCCAACTGTTTTCAAGTCTCATGCATGGGGAATCTTACACACGCTTCTCGAAATGTTTAGCTACAGGATGCACCACATTCAGCCTCATTACAGAGTTCAGCTCCTGAGTCATCTCCATACATTGGCAGCAGTTGCACAAACAAACCAAAACCAGCTTCATCTCTGGTAAGCCCATTGGAGACTCTTTCCTTAAGATTTATTAAAAACTCTTACCATTGGGGAACTTAATCTTTCACTCATAATTTTCTTTGTACATTTGTCAGACAAACTCGTCTGTTTCTGGAGTTGCTGATTTCTTTTTTTCTACTATAGATGAAACCAAATCCAATATTTTTAGTAGAAACTTATTAAGATAGTTGAGTCCTTGCCTCAAGATCATTGGACTAAGAATTCGTATTTAGGAGGCCTTTGTCATTATCTCTAATTTTGCTCTTTAAATCCTGCTAGATTTCAGTATGCTTCAGATTATGACTATAAGCATCCTCTCATTTTATTTTATTTTTTTTAAGTGAAATATATTTCAGATAGAAAACTGTTACTTTTGAAATGTTTTATACCAAGGTGGAATTTTGATTCCTACAAAATATCCTTTTCAAATTTAAGGAAATTTCAGAATTTTAAAGTAAATTACCAAATTCCATTCTCACACAGATTTTTTTTTTAATCAAAGAAGGTGGAATTTATAGTTTGCATTTTTAATTATCACCAACCTAGAGTAAGATTTAATTCTATACTAATGAAATTTCACATGCAGCTTAACTCTTCCATGTTTCCTTTGTTCATCCACCTTTCAGTGTTGAGAGCACTGCACTCCGGCTTATAACAGCACTGGGCAGTTCAGAGGTCCAGCCACAGTTTACACGATTTCTTAGCGATCCCAAAACGGTGCTGTCGGCCGAATCTGAAGAACTGAACCGAGCCTTGATATTGACCTTAGCTAGAGCAACTCATGTAACAGGTGCGTGAGTATGTGGCCAAACAACAATAAATAAAGGTGAATAAACATTTGCTATGATACTATCAATTTCTAGACTGATGTTGTTGTTGTTAGGTACCATCGAGTCGGTACCGACTCATAGTGACCTTATACACAGCAGAAGGAAACACTGCCCGATCCTGGGTCAACCTCACAATTGTTGCCACTCTTGAACCCTCATTATAAAGGTGCTTAATAATAAATTTTACTGTTTCATCAAAGACATTCTTAAGTGAACCTGGCACTTCCGCATTTTCTCCCACCTCATCCCTTACTTCCTTCTTGTGCAGCCCTCCCTCCTACCCCCACCCAGAGAGTGAGACATCATAAAGAAGACTACAGTAACTGTTTAATATGATTGCTACTGGTTGATTTGTGCTGAGGGACAACAGTTATGCTAAGGGACACCCCCTTTTGCAGCTTCACTGCACATAACAACACAGTAAAAATGCCAATGGCATCTTAGTATTATTATTTAAATAGTCCCTTAACAGGATCCCATGAACCCCGGCCCCCCATGTCCTCAGACCACATATTGACTTTTTTTTTAAAGAAATCCTTGAATTTGGCAATCTCAAATACATTTGTGTAAATGATCTTGTTCCACCTAAATAAAATTTACTTAGATAAATAAGTATGCTTGTAGTCTACAATTCTGTGATTACTGTGGTACTTTCAAACTCCAGAATAGACATTGACTTTCAGATTTCTGTTTCCTCAGCTTAATAAAGTCCTGGTAAACCATTTTCAGAAGAAAGTTAAGTGAGCAGAAGTGGTGGAGCTATATCACTCTTGGATCACTGGATTGCTGTTGTTGTTGAGTGCTATTGAGTTATTGAGTCGGTTCCGACTTGATGGCACCTAACAACGACCCTGTATAGGGTTTCTGAGGAGTGGCTGGTGGATTTGAACAGCTGACTGTACAGTTCAAAATGGGGTCCACATGCTTGTCTTACAGTGCTGCACCAGAATTCCATATCATTGGTACTCTAGCATAAAAAAAAAAAAAAAAATTTAAAGTGAAAGATTCCAAATGTTCTTTATCTTCCTTTCACTAATTGTGTTCATAATAATTAATGTAATGATCCAAACTACTCACAAGCTCAGAAAATTTAGGTCCCAAACTAAACACAACTGTTAAGCCGAGAGCTCAGTGCTATCAGATTCCCTTGAGTAGACATGGTTGTGATTTTCACTATTAGATCATCTATGAATTGATCTTTTGTGTCTCGAATACATCTGTTTCTGTTTTTACAGATTTTTTTACAGGCTCCGATTCAATTCAGGGAACTTGGTGTAAAGACATACTTCAGACCATCATGAGTTTCACTCCTCATAATTGGGCTTCACACACCCTTAGCTGTTTTCCAGGCCCATTACAGGTAATATGATCTTAAATTACATATTGATTACATACAGAATCTTTCTGTCATTCCCGATGGCAGTTATTCTAGAGAATTTGTTTTTGTGACATCTGAAACAAAACTAGCCTTGATGTCTTTCTTCTTTTTTTAAAAATCCATGGTTACTTCTAAAATCTCCAGTTATTCCTTGCCCTACTTTGTGTTGTTGTTGTTGTTAAGTGCCGTCAAGTCAGTTCCAACCCATAGAACTGGTTTCTTAACTCCATATCCAGTGCTCTCTTTTATTCAACCATTGAAATTTCTGGTTTTCCTTTTAGACATTCTTCAAACAGAATAATGTACCTCAGGAAAGCCGTTTTAATCTGAAAAAGAATGTCGAGGAAGAGTATAGGAAATGGAAGTCCATGAGTACTGAAAATGACATCATTACCCACTTCTCTGTAAAAGTCTCGCCTCCTCTCTTCCTTTGTCTTCTCTGGAAAATGCTCTTAGAAACGGATCATATTGATCAGATTGGCTATAGGTAAGTAAAAAAACCTAGATCTGTATTCCTTTTGTTGAATTGTTATATTCATGTTGTTGTTAAGTGCCATCAAGTCAGGTCAATTCCCACTCATGGCGACCCTGTGATGAGTTCGAACCAGTGACCTTTCAAACCAACCTTGCAGTCAAGTGCTTATCCTACAGCACCACACCAGTACTCTGTTACATCTATACAGCAATAGGATTTACTTTTTTTACTTTCTGCTGTCCAGAGTATTAGAGAGAATTGGAGCCAGAGCCTTGGTAGCCCATGTGAGAACATTTGCAGATTTCCTGGTGTATGAGTTCTCTACATCTGCTGGGGGTCAGCAACTCAACAAATGCATTGAGATTCTTAATGACATGGTATGGAAGTACAACATTGTTACATTGGATAGATTGATTCTCTGCCTGGTAAGAACAAGTTTCTTAGCTTTGTTACTCTCTTTCAGATAGGCTCCCTACTATTCTGTGTTGCTTGTAAGGCTATCATGAATAATTAAGCATTGCTGTCATTTTCCTAAGAAATGAGATTTCCCTGTTTCTTTATCATTTATTCAGTTAAGATTAAGTGTTGGGTACACAGGTAAATAAAACCAACTAAGAAAGTATGAGCCGTTAGACCCTCTGATGAGTTGATTCTCAAAGGCTCTGGCAGGCAGTAGTGAAACGTCCCTGTGTTTCTGTCTTGAGCCCCAACATAGCCATTTTTGTTCACTTTGGTAACCATAGTCATAAACTGAATGCTTCTCATAGTCTCCCAATACTCCCAAAATATTTTTTATCCTGGCTTTGGTGTCTATTTTAGACAACGTTTTAAGAAACTGAAATAGACTAGAAAATGCTGCATATTTTTTAATATTGTGATGGTGACATTTGGGGTGACTTCATTGATTAATGTCTTAGCTGTGCAGCATAAATACGTTGTTGTTATTGAGTGCCATTGAGTATGTTTTGATTCATAGTGACCCTGTATAGGGTTTCTGAGGAGCAACTGGTAGGTTTGAACTGCCAACCTTACAGTTAGCAGTCCAGTGCTTATCCTACAGCACCATACCAGGATTCTAACAGGTGATTATAATCTAGTAGTGGAAGTAAAGGTAAATTCATAAACCGAAAAAAAAAAAAAAAAACCAGAAGAATTAGATAGAGCTTTAGGGAAAATACTGAAGACATCAGTGAGAACATATCTATCTTGGTAATGGAGTTTAAAGGATGGATTTCATTTCAGAACAATAAAGATGCACATTCCTGGCAGAGGGGCTGGTAAGGGACAAAAATAGCAAGAAAGGGCAGGATATGTTTGCACTGTGGGACAGACTAGACACATGAAGAGATGATAATAACAGTGAGATTTTACTCTGTTAACATATAGACTGTAAAGTGCCAGAGGACAGTCTAAATCCCTGGTTTCTCACAGGTTGGGAATTGTCATATGACTTTTCTGTTCTTCTAAGGCCATGCGCAGTCACGAAGGAAATGAAGCCCAGGTTTGTTATTTTATAATTCAGCTGCTATTGCTCAAACCAAATGATTTTCGAAATCGAGTGAGTGACTTTGTGAAGGAGAACTCTCCAGAACACTGGCTACAAAATGACTGGCACACCAAGCACATGAATTATCACAAGGTATGTTCTGGGGAGTACTTCAGATCCCCTTTAATGTGCACTTCGGTATTCTGGGCTACTGGAGATGTTTTCTTATGGTTGTTCTGTTTTCATATGAGGAGACTTCAAAAAATTTATGGAAAAATGGAATGAAAAGATGATGGATTTTTTTTCCACGAATATTTTTAAGTCCCCATGTAGAAGTAAATTAGCTCACCAAACTTCGTCAAGGTTATAGAATTTCTCTAATTTTAAAAATAAATTGACGCTCCACTTTCATTAGACATGGGTACTGGAAACACAAAATGAGTTAGAGTATAATAAAGTATAATTTGAAATGTTCTTATAAAAAATAAATTTATAAGCAGTATTTTTAAGTTTATTCAGTTCTTATTTAAGAGGAGGAAAAAAGATGCCTTAAATATGTCCCATCTCTTCACTCCCACAGAAATATCCAGAGAAGCTGTATTTTGAGGGCCTGGCGGAACAGGTTGATCCTCCAGTACAGATCCAGTCCCCCTACCTGCCCATCTATTTTGGAAATGTGTGTCTCCGATTCCTTCCAGTATTTGATATAGTAATCCACAGATTTTTAGAGTTGCTTCCAGTATCTAAATCACTGGAAACTCTACTGGATCACCTAGGAGGCTTATATAAATTTCATGGTGAGCTTTTTGGAATTGTTATTTAATAACTTCATTAACAAAAGTAGGCTAAGCATATTATATGATGTGATAGTCCTAAAGATTTGATTTTTTTCTAGATAGAAAAGTTTTTCAAAGTGAGTGCTGTCAGATGATACCATGCAATATAAAATGTTTTTGTTGTTGGTTGTTGCCAAGTAGATTCAGACTCATGGCAAAGTATGAAATTCACAACATAAACGTATTACTAGATGTTACTGAGCCAGCTTGATGGCACTTAACGGCACTGCTAAGTGTGGTCGATTTGGTTCCAACTCAGCATCCCTTTATAGGGTTTCCAAGGAGTGGCTGGTGGATTTGAACCATTGACCTTCACAGTTAGCAGTCCAGTGTGTATCCTATAAGCACCACACATTTGTTGTTATTGTTGTTTTTAAGTACCATCGAGTCAATTCTTACTCATAGAGACCCTTAATGGGTTTCTGAGGAGCAGCTGGTGAGGTTAAGCCACCGACCTTGCAGTTCAAACCGACCTTGCAGACCAGCGCATTAACCCATAGCGCCACACCAGGACTCCTTAAGCTACTTTTTGTTAGGTGCCCTTGAGTTGTTTCCAACTCAGAGCAACCCTCTGCACAACAGAATGAAACACTGCCCAGTCCTGGGCCATCCTCACAGTTGTTATACTGCAGCCCATTGCTGCTGCCACTGTGCCAATCCATCTCATTGGGGGTCTTCTTTTTTTACGCCTGCCTTCCACTTCTCTAAGCTAAGATCCTTCTCCAGGCACTGATCTCTCCTGCTAATATGTCCAAAGTATAAGAGATGAAGTCTAGCCATCCTTGCTACTAAGTAACATTCTGGCTGTACTTCTTTCAATACGGACTTGTTTGTTTTTCTGGTGGTCCATGGAACTTTCCATATTCTTCTCCAACACAACTCAAATTCATCAATTCTTCTACTATCTTCCTTATTTATTGTCCAGTTTTCACATACGTAGACTATTGAAAATGCCATCGCTTGGGTCAGGCACACCTTAGTCCTCAAACTAATATCTTTTCCCTTGAACACTTTAAAGAGGTCTTGTGCATCTGATTTGCCTAATGCAATTCATCATTTGATTCCTTGACTGCTGCTTCCATGAATGTTAATAGTGGATCCAAGCAAAATGAAGTCTTTGACAACTTCAATCTTTTCTCCATCTATCATGATATTATTTATTGGTCCAGTTGTAAGGATTGTCATTTTTTTTTATATATTGAGGTTCAACACATAGTGAAGGCTGTGGTCTTTGATCTTCATCAGTATTTTAAGTCCTCTACCCTGTCAACAAACAAGGCCATATCATCTGCATATATCAGGTTTGTCAGTTAGTATCCTCCATTCCTGGTGCCAAACTCTTCTTCATATAATCCTGACTCTTGTATTATTTGCTCAACATGCAGATTAAATTAAGTATAGTGAAAGAATACAGCCCTGCCACACACAATTCCCTGATTTTAAATCATTCCCCTTGTTCTGTTTGAACTACTGTCTCTTGGTCTATGTATAGGTTCCTCATGAACACAATCAAGTTTTCAGGAATACTCATTCTTTGCAATCTTATCCAAAGCTCATCATGATCCACACAGTTGAATGCCTTTGTATAGTCAGTAAAGCACAAGTAAACATCTTTCTGGTATTCTCTGCTTTCAGCCAAGATCCATCTGACGTCAGCAGTGATATCCCGTGTTCCATGTCCTCTTCTAAATTGGGTATGAGTGTCTGGCAGTTCCCTGTCGGTGTACTGTTGCAGCCGTTTTTGAATTTTCGTCATTAAAATTATACTTTCATGTTATCTTAATGATACTATTCGATGATTTCTGCATTCATTGAACCACCTCTCTTGGTTACAAATATGTCTTCCAATAGGTTGGCAGGTAGTTCTCATCCAGATTTCTTGGCGTAGATGACTGTGTGCCTCTAGTGCTGTATCAGTTTTTGAAAGATTTCAATTTGTATTCCATCAATTCCTGGAGCCAATACCTTCATTTCAGCTTGGACTTCTTCCTAGAGTATCATCAGTTCTTAATCATATGCTGCTTCTTAAAATGGCTAAACGTCAACCATTTCTTTTTGGTACAATAACTCTGTACATACCTTTTACCTTACTTTGATTCTTTCTGCAATCCTTTGTCTATTATGGTTGTTATGTGTCATCAAGTCCGTTCTGCCTCAGAGCAACCCTCTGCAGGGTTCCCAAGAGAACTCGGGTCTGCACACATTTCATGATAATCCTTGTCTTTGTCTTTTCGAGCTGCCCTTTGAAATTTTCTCTTCAGCTCATTGATTTCCTCATATCTTCCATTCGCTTTAGCATCTCTATGTTAGAGAGCAAGTTTCAGAGTCTCTTCTGGCATCCATTTTGGTCTTTTCTTTCTGCCCTGTCTTTAATGAAGTTTGCTTTCTTTGTATGTGATGTTCTTAATGTCTTTCTACAGCTCTTCTGGTCTTCAGTCATTATTGACTAATGCATCAAATCTGTTCTTGAGATGTTTCTGTGTTCGGGTGGGATAGGATATGTTCAGTGTCATTTATTAACTACCGTGGAGTTGTTTTAGTTTTCTTCAACTTCAGCCTGAACTTGCATATGAGCATTAGATGGTCTATTCTACAATCTGTCCCTGACCTTGTTTTGACTGATGATATTGAGCTTCTCCACAGTCTCTTCCTACAGATGCAGTCAGTTTGATTCCTGTGTATTTCATCTGGTGAGCTCCATGTGTATGGTGGTGGTGGTATGCTGTGGAGTCAGTTCTGACTCATAGTGATAATGCCATAGGGTTTCTGAGGCTGCAGCTCTTTACGGGAGTAGAAAGCCTCATCTTTCTCCTGTGGAACAGCTGATAGTTCCGAACTGCCGACCTTGAGGTTTGCAGCCCCTCTAGTCACCTTTTATGTTGTTTGAAAAAGGTATTTGCAAAGAAAAGTCATTGGTCTTGTAAAATTTATTGTTTCTATCACCAAGACCATATTTCCCAACTTCTAACCCTTCCTCTTTGTTTCCAACCTTCACATTCCAATCACCAGTAATTATCAATACATCTTAATTGTATGTTTGATGAATTTCAGGGTGAAGAGGTTGGTAGAATTCTCCTATTTCACCATCATTGGCTTTATCCCCAAATGGATATAGGAGAAAAGAATGACTTCAGAACAAAGTAATGCTACTGTAAACCACATGGGTTTGGCCAGGCATCTTGGGAGGGTAGGTTGAATCTGATACATATGATTTGTTTAAGCAAAAAGAACAGATCATAGTAGGAAGACTTGGGCCTTTGGGAAAATCATGGAAATAGACAAAACAAAGCACATTTGAAGAACAATGTTAATAATGGAATGAATTGAGAATTTGTAACAAGGAGCTCTAGAAATAAGGTCAGAAGGGAATATGCAACTTGACTCTAGGTCAGCTTGAAGACCAGGCTGAAACATTTTATTTTATTTTATAACCTGCAGATAAAGTTACTGAGTAAGGTCTTGGTGGTGTTAGAAATGAGAAAGAAGGGACAAATGGTCAAGGAAGAAGAGATAAGACCTCTTTGATTGGTTATGGGTAGAATGTTGAAGGGAAAAAATGAAAGACAACTTTAAAGTTTAAAACATTGAAAGTCTGACTTGGGAGAATGATGGTAAAGTGTGAAAATCCTGAGACAGCCACTGTGGGAAGAAAGATCATGTATTTGTCTGGTGGGCAGTTAGTATTCTCGGTCCTAATCTACAGTGTTTTTTTCCTAAGAATGAATTGGTTGTTTTACATATATATTTTTTAATAGGCAATATTTTTTAGGGAACTTTTAACTTAGAGAAAAATTGTGCAGAAAGTAGAAATTCTGTATCTCTTCTCCTCATTGCAGACAGTTTCACCTATCATTAACATCTTGTCGTAGTGTGGTACATGTATTACAATTGATGAACCAACACTGATGCATTATTACTAACCAGAGGCTGTAGTTTGCATGAGCGTTCACTCTTTGTGTTACACAGTTCTGTGGGTAGTAACAAAATCTTAGTGTTAAGTGTTCACCATTACAGCAGCATACAGAATAGTTTCACTGCAAATTCCATGCTCCACCTCTTCATCACCCATCGTGCCCTTTCCTGGAATCCTTCACATGACACATTTTTTTCCTACTGTCGTTATAGTTTTGTCTGTTCTAAAACGTCATGCTGTATGTAGCTTGTGCAGACTGCCTTCTTTCACATTAAAAACCCCACTACCATAGGATTAATTAATGTAAGGTTCCTCAGTGTTGTTTCATAGCTTAATAGCAGATTCCTTTTTATCACTGGATAGTACTCTACTGGATAGTAGAAGAACGTTTTAGTTGCTTCCAGTTTGAGGCAATTATGAATAAAGCTGTTTTAAGCATTCTTGTATAGGTTTTTTATGTGGACATAGTTTTCAGCTAGCTTGGTAAATACCCAGGAGTGCTATGAATTAGGGTTTTGACGTGCCATGGGCTGTCAAAAGAACAAACAGACCTGTGTTAGAAGAAGTGCAGCCAGAGTGCTCCTTGGAGGCCAGGATGGCCAAACTTTGTCTCATACTGTGGTAATATTGTCAGGAGAGACCAGTCGCTGGAGAAGGATATCATGTTTGGTAAGGTGGAGGGTCAGAGAAAAAGAGGAAGACCCCCAGCGAGATGGATTGGCCCAGGACCGGGCAGTGTTTTGTTCTGTTGTACATAGGGTTGCTATGAGTCGGTATTGACTCAGTGACACCTAACAACAACAGCAACTGTTGAACAGGTATGAAATTCAAGTCAGCATTCCTATGAAACACATTTCTATCTTGGGCTTGATAATATATATACCCAGTACAAAGACCTGGAGTGGTGCTGTTGGTTAATGCACTGGACTGCAAAGTCGATTTGAACCTCAAGGTCGGCGATTCAAGCTCACCAGCCACTCCTTGGAAACCCTATACAGGGTCGCTAGGGGTCAGAGCTGACTCAGTGGCACTTAACAACAACAACAACAGAAGGATACACTGAAAAGCAGTAATTCAGTCCCCTTTCTGCCCTTCACCTAGCCAATTTCTTTCTCTTTAGACAACCAGTATGGCCAGGTTCTTACGTATCATTTGTTTTTAAGTTTTTATTGTAAATTAAGTGATAGTTTACATGGGAGAACTTTGGTTTTATACTCATTGTTTCATTGCAATGATTTTAATCTCTGTATCATCATTCAACAGTATTTGCTCCTATTCCCTCTGTTTTTTGAGGGGAGGGTGGGGGATGTACATAAAAACACTCAGGAATATAAAATCATATAAACAACCAAAGGGCACATTCTGTAAGCCTGTCTCCTGGCCACCAGCACACAGCCTTTCTCTTTCCATGAGTCGAGTCTTCAGATGCTCTGTCTCTCCATGTCCTCATCTCCTTCTCCATCACTGGTGTTGCTCACTCTCTGAATAGGGTTCCACATTCTGCTCGTTCTCTTCTCCCTTGACGGTCCTAGGATTGTCTGCTCTTGGACTGTAAGATTAACTACTCCCCCTTTTTGTTACAAAACTTCTACCTTTACAGTTGTGACCATTGCAATTAGTCATGATAACAATTACTATTGAATTACTCACCATCTCCTTTCACGAAACCCATCTATACAAGATGAAAACTATTCAGTGGAGATTCTACCTTCTCCTGCACTCTTGGAAACTAAACTCCCTCTTATAAAACTTGTAAGCCACTCACTTCCTGTGTTTATAGCCCCTCCATTTTAGGTAGCCAATGTCTAAGTTGGCCCATCCCTCTCAACCCTGTGTACAGAAGAGATAGGATTCTTACTTGATGTGAAGACTTCTTCCCTCTAAGTTGGTATTTTGAGCTACTACATCCATGAGTATAGGTCATGTTCATCAAATTGTAGCAATTAAAACTTGTTTCCTTTATCAAAAAAAAATTTTTTTTTACCTTCCTCTAATCGAGTTCTGATCACAAGCCATCGAAACTAGGTCAAATGGGTACTATCTGCAAGTTTGGGCATTCTTGTGCATCTCCCCTCACTTCATATCAGCTGGACACTTCACTCTCAGTTCTAGCCCTCCATGGCTATGTACTTATCCATGGGTTTAGGAGTCCCCAGGTCTCACCACAACCAGCCCTTCCTCCTCTCTCTCATCTCCAGGTTGACTGGAGTCTATTGAATGTGGTCGAATTCAGCCTATATCTTCATTGCTGCCTTTCCCCCTCTTCCACTCACCAGTAGACCATCATGGTCACCAGCAAGCTTACATGCCTGTTCGTGTCTTGGAGGTGGGGTAAAGGGACTTACTTGACTACTTGCCTTGATGGCTCCCTGGCGAACAACTTGCTTGTTCTTGTAGTAGCCAATCAAACTGCCGTTTTTGTTTTGGAATTTTCCTCCTGGTCTTTGTTTCAAGAAGTATCTTGTTTCTCTAGCTGCTCTAGGCTGGTCTGATTGTCCTTTCAAGTGGGAATGTCCCACCTCAGAATGCTCTCTAGGGCTCAGGATTCTACCTAAGGTTCTATATACTACAAGGGCTCCACAAGAAGCATATTTCAATGGGCAAGTTCTAGAATCCCTTTTAGATATTCTAGTCAGTTTTAGGCTGAAGGCAGGCTTACAAGCTTTCTGTAATGTTTCCTGATATTCCTTTCTATCCCACTCAAGTGTCTATTTTACAATAGTAGGCAAGAGAAACCAATATTCATAAGACAGTCAGGTATCTTAGTATGATTTCCCCCTTTCTCGTGTGTCCTTTTAGATATTCTTAATTTGTGTTTTTACAAATAAGATATTCACATTATACAAGGGAGCTTTACCAATAATGTAGAGAAATGGAATGAAAAGATAGTGGAATTTTTCTACAAACTTTTTGATGCCCCCTCATTAGTCTATGTGTTTTTCACTTTTAATATGTGTTAACAGTTGACCTCAGATTCATGTCAGTGCATTCAGAGTTGCCTCATGCATGCCATAATTCCCTTAATTGTTTCTGGTTTTGACCATTTAAGTTGTTTCAGACCGTTTTCTAGTGTAAACAGGGCTGTAGCAACATTCCTTGCATGTCACATCATTTTTGTAGTGTAAATTTTCAGAAGTGAAATTGTTAGCCCAAGGAATATGATGAACATCCTTTCGAAATGTGAACTACACCTGTGTACATTATTAAGTCTTTTGCCTTGTCATAAGATAAAAATATTTATTGTATATAATATCCCAGCATGTCAAACAGCTTTATCATCTTTGGAGTTGTTCTTCGATAGTCATGAAAGTAGAGGATTTGATTTTCAGAATTGTCAGCATTCAGATAAACATCATAGTGATTTATTTTCTTCTCGGCAGATCGTCCAGTGACTTATTTGTACAATACGCTGCATTATTATGAAATGCACCTGAGAGACCGTGCATTTCTCAAACGTAAGCTTGTCCATGCCATCATTGGCTCTCTCAAGGATAATCGACCCCAGGGCTGGTGTCTAAGTGACACTTACTTAAAGAGTGCTATGAATGCACGAGAAGACAACCCTTGGATCCCAGATGACTCCTACTACTGCAGATTGATTGGCAGACTAGTAGATAATATCCTTTATTGTGATTTTCCACACTTGCCAGAAATAGCAGTATTTGAGAGCATATATTTTCTTTTTAAGGCAATAATATTTTTATGCATTCCAATTTTCAGTTTTACTTCTGTAAACGTTTTGAAATCTTATCAGGATCATGCCAGTAGGCTGAGATTCACTGCATTAAATAGAAATTATGTTTAAAAATGAACTTCATGGAGTTGTGTAGCACATGCATTTATTTGCTCCTGGAGAACATAGAATATTATTGTTTTAAATAATTCTTAAGTATTTTCTTAAATGTTAGTAGATAATAATAAAATAAATAAATAAATAAAACTAAGTTTCACTCTCTTAGTAAAAAATACCACTGTCCTGATGAGTGGAGTCCTGTGTGGCATGGTAGCATAAACAGAGGACTGCTAACCACAGGGTGGTTCAAATTCACTAACTGTTCTTTGGAAACCCTGTACTGGGTTGTTTTGAGTCAGAATTGACTTGATGGCACTTAACAACAACAGCAACCACTGACAAGTAATTTTTCCTTCATTTATGGCTTCATGTTTGTGTTACCAGAACACTTGTCTGCATACTATTTACTGAATACAGACGTTTCCTGAAGTGTAAGGATTGTTCATTATGAAATAATTTTCTTATTAACTTTCTTTGACTATTTTAAGAAAAATAGTCTGATGAAGCCTAGGGATATCTTGATTGCATCTGAAGGTATTATAATGTTATAGTTATGCAAGGCCTCCAACGATACCAACCATTTTATAAACTGTGCTTGATCAAGTGACTACCATAAAGCATTTCAGCCATGAAAGGCTTCCTTATATTTGAATATATATA